ATGCGCCTTTTAATTTCCTGGCTGCTGGTGCCAAGACTGCTAGGAGAACAAAAAAGTTCGTCTTAGAGAGAGTGAAGCCAGGCTTGTCCCTGGAGGCAAGGATTCTGAAGCCTCGTCTTACATACTTTGGACATGTTACAAGGAGGGATCAATCCTTGGAGAGGGATGTCATGCTTCGAAGGATGGAGGGACAGCGCAGGAGAGGAAGACCCTCAATGAGATGGATTGATTCAGTCCCTGGGGTAATGGGAATAGGTGTGTTGGAGACACTGAGATTGGCAAGGGATAGAGCAGGGTTTAGGGCTGCTGTACATAGGGTTGCTGTGAGTTGCAGGTGACTCAACCGGTACATAACAACAACAAACATCACTTACCAGCTAGATATTTTACTTAATTATTGTTTTGTTTATTGTCTCTCTTATTTAAGTGTTAGAATGTAAGCTCTAAAGAGGATTGGCATTTTCGTTTTGGTTTTGGGGGTTGTTATTTGCTGTTATCTCTAATGCCTTTAATATTATTTGGCAAATGCTCAATAAATATTTGTTGAATAAATGAACAAATATAAGTAAGCAACAGACACATATGGTCCCTGCTTTCATGAAGTTTACAGTTTGTGGTTGCCTTTCTCCAGATGAAGGTACTGATAGATACTAAAATATTTTTGTTGTTGTTTGGTTTAAATACTTACAAATCAGAATCTTTATGAGGGAATGGGCGTGTGAAGTTTATTTCTTGAAAAAATGCTATCTTAAGGTGCTTTGCTTTGTATTAATTGAAACTATTACATGTTACAATAGAAAAGATTATAAAATGATTGATTTTTTAAAAAAATACTATGCGGTCATTTTGGATTTTAATTCCTTGCTGTGAAACACTTAATTACAAAATGTTCTATTTCCTTTTATAAAGAGCAAATTCCTTGGCTTGTAAATGGGATTAATAAATGAAGTCATTTTACTTCTCATTAGCTTCTTAGAAATTTATTCTTTTACAATATAATAAATAAACCAACCATTACATTTAAACCTAAAATCCTTTGATAAAAATCATATTGGGAAAACTTTTGAACAAATATCTAATGTTGAGGCAATTGTAAATAGTAGCTATCATATTGATGCCAACTGAGGAAATATGATTAGACTTAGTCGATAAATAAATCTGTTAACATAATCTGCCATGTGCCAATCTAAATAATGAAAGCATTATTGTAGGAGGATGTTTTGTTAAATGCCCTGCAAGGCCTGTATTTTTGTGCAAGCCCACCATGTGGTAGACTATAATAGCTGATTATTAATAATAAGAAGACTGAATTTTATACCTCTTGAATTATTTATCTGAGGGAATAGATATTTATTGGTACATAGAATTCCTGTTGCTTTTAAATGGGTTTTCTGATGTATCCTTGTTTAGTAATTTATATTGCCTTTTCCTTTTTTTACAGTTTTGTTGTATAATATAAAAATATTCTTGGATGGGTTTTGGGGGTTTTTTTGTTTGTTTGTTTGTATTTAAGATTAGGATAGTGAAGTTTAGAAAAGCCATCCTTAGTGACTACATTCTGAAAGTGGAAGGAAAAGAAATATTTAATTGATGATGAATTTTTTATTTCTATTTGTTTGACCTTAAAAATACTTTGCTCTCCATGGCTCATTGGACATATTTTCTTTTTAATTAAAAGTTTTCCATATATAATAGCAAATAAGTTCATATTGCCTTTCAGTTTAGCTTCATTTCAGAACTAGAGTTTGTTGAATATGTGAACTGCTAGGAGGCCTGTGAAAAATATCAGAAAATGCTATAACAGACAAAAAAAATTTTTTAAATTAATTTTAATGAATGTTTACAGAGACTTAGGGTTTCCTTCTAGTCATTCATTGTTGCACTTTTCTGCCTGCCCACCCAAACAAAATTTTTGATGGGTAATAATAGCTTGAATTATCTGAAGCATTTGTAGGGTTCCTTGGTGAAAGTGTGAATTGTGTATTTTACCTGTACAACTGTCATTTTACAAAAGTAGGAAAATAGTGTTTAATATTTTCCATTTCTAACAAAAATGTTTGCTTTACACTGGAAATTTTATTTTAACAAAAAGAAGAAAATGGAGCTCTGGTAGCTGAGTGACAAGAATCTACGCTGCAATCCTGAAGGCCCTAGATGCTCCACTGGAAAAGGAGAGGCAGTCTCCTCCTGTGCCAGTGGGATTGGATTCAATAGTACCCAAGAAGAAGAAGTTATAAAGAAAATACAGGGTAATGATGGGTATAGGCCAATGCTGATTAATTTTATAAAACATAGTGAATGAGAATGACTATATGAAATGCAATGTGAATGAATAATAATGTGAAACGCAATGTAAGCAAAGCAATATAAAATAAATTTTTTAAAATTCCCCCAACATTTTATTATAAAATAAGAATTTTTTTTTTATAAAATAAGAAATATTTTGACAGGCAAGAAGATATAATCTCAGAATATGTTTAGATTATTATTCAGGTTGTTATCTAAATGCTAAATATTTGGGAAATTTTAGTATCCACATAATAATGTGCGCTTACTTTAGTAGTAAAAGTTTAATTCCTTAAAGTTACATGAGCTTTTCTTTGAGTAATTAATGCCTCACTGTTAACTGAAAAGTCTGTAGTTCAAACTCATTAGCTTCTCCTTGGCAGAGAGAGATGTGACAGTCTTCACTTGAAAATTTATACCCTTATAAATCCTTATGGCACTTTTCCTCAGCCCTGCGGGGTCACTTTAAATCAGAGTTACTTTACAGGAACAGATTCGGTTTTCCTTTGTAAAAAGCTTCAGCACAGGAGTAGTTATCATAATCTCTCTCCTTTCACACACACACACACACACACACACACACACACACAGAATCTATACTTGAACTAGGAGGCTGTTGTGCAAACAGAGAGCAAGGGAGCACTGCATAGTTTAAAACTGAGAAGAAAGTGTGCCAGGGTTGTATTTTCTATCCATACCTATTCAGTCTGTATGCTGAGCAAATTATCTGGAAACTGGACTCTACGAAGAGGACTTTGGCATCAGGATTGGAGGGAGATTTGTCAGTATGCGTTATGCAGATGACACAACCTTGATTGCTGAAAGTGAGGAGGATGTGAAGCACTTGTTTCAGAAGATCAAGAATGCAGCCTTTGTTATGGATTACATCTTAATGTTAAGAGAACAAAGGTTTTTAGGCAGCTTCATGATGGATGGAGAGAACATTGAAACTGTCAACAGCTTCATCTTGCTTGGATCCACAATTAACACCCTTGGTACCAGCAGTCAGGAAATAAGGAGATGCATTGCACTGGGAAAATCTGCAGTTAGAGACCTCTCCAAAATTATTGAGGAGTCATTTTGAGGACTAAGGTGGCCTTAGTCTTCGATTACTTGGTATGCATCTGGATAGTGAATAAGGAAGACAGAAAAAGAGCTGTGGTTTTGGAGAAGAGCACTGAACATCCCATGGATGGCCAGGAGAACAAACAGGTATGTCTTGGAGAGGGTGTTCTTTGGAGGCAAGAATGATGAGGCTGAACTTCACATACTTTGGGCATGTTCTCACCGTGAGGACCTCTACAAAATGTTCTGGTTGTCTTTATGGTATTTGACTTCCCAAATGCAAGTGATTTAGGGAAACCAGTATAATTATTATTTTCCCTGGTAGACAGTATAGTGTCTGGTTGTGACCCTAGTGTTAATGAAGTTTCTTAACCTTTTTATGCCTTGCTTTTTTGGTTGGCTTTTAACAGTGAGATAATGATAAATACTTATATTATAGATCATAAAATAGAGGTCTTTGTGAAGGTTCAGAGAATTAGGAGAGTCTCCCTACACTTAGTGCACTGGTAAGCCCTCAGCCTGCGGTTTCTCTTCACTCAGTTATCACCACAGGGATGAAGTAAAACCTAGGCAGTGTCATGCCTGTGACAGAAATACTCGTCATTCCTATTTGTAAAAAATTACCATGCAGAAATTGCTACAGATTCTAGATGTCCTAAGTGTGGTAAAGAGCAGAGAATTATTAACGTACCTGTTCGATTATGTATATGGAAGACCTTCCATTCCTCATTTGTGCTTATTTAGATTTTAAAATGGAAGATACATATCCACATAATATAAATGAAACAGAAAGCAATTAAGCCCCTCCTGTCTTTTTAACTTTCTATTTTAAAATAATTATCTGGATTCACAAGAGGTTGTGTGGTTATAGACAGTATTAATTTACAGTGATCAATTTTCATTTAGCAGAAATTGACAGAATAGCAGTAGCTATTGAATATATATATAGGGATTAAACTTTGATCTTGAGCATTTCATCCCTCTAGGCTTTCACCATTGCTTTCTGAAAATGTTCTTGATTTTGAGTCTTCATCTTTGAAACTTACATTCTCTTCAGTGTTAATCACGGTGCTGTTACTTTTACTGTTGTTTTAAAACAATGTTTTTCATTATATCCCTATTTTTCCTTTAAAATCTTTATAGTCAGAACCATGTTGCCTGCATTGTCTTTTTAAATCACGTGCCAGTTTTGCAGTGGTACCATGTCTGGATCTGAGAGACAGCTTGTGTGAATCATTTACATACATTTCTGTTTATATTCCCCATAGTAATTCACATTTTTTAATCCAATTACGTGTTCAAAGCAGATTTGTAATAGTTCATTTTAAGTAAGATTTCATTATATGTGGAATGAAAAAATCTAACTCAAAGAGTAAAGCTAATGAACAATAGCGGGAACCAAATACCATATAGGACTTAAAGTGGTAATTATTAAATATTTGAATGTTCTCATTTTTCCTAAGTCTGTGTGTCCCTACTTGTTTATTCCACGAGGGATTTGCACAGATAGATTTTGCAGTATCCTTGCTAATATTGTCGGCCATAAACAAATTACACGTATTTAATAAGTTAATGTCAGATTGGCCAGGAGCCACTGGGAGGTGTGTACTTAGTGACATCAGCTGGCAAAGAGCCATGGTAACAGGGTTGGAGGGGTAGTGGAGAGAGAGGGAACGAAAGGGAGGGAGAAAAAGAGAGAGACAGAAAGAGACTGACTGTATCTGGGGATTCTGGCAAGGTGAAGAGCTGGTCTGTTTGGCAGGACCTTCCCATCTGGGATCCATCTGTGTTTCCCTGGAATGGGACAGGCAGCTCTAGTCAGTGAGAAATCGCAGATGTGAGAGAGCTGACACATGTCCAGCTAATGAAAGAAGGAGGAAGGCTGGTCTCAGATTGAGCTTTGAAGATTAGGAGGAGAAAAAGAAGTGCTTTTTAATATCTATTTCAAATAAATTTTGGTATATTGAGAATCTGGATTGTTATAATTTGGTCATTTGGGGTAAGTACATTTTAATTTAGGCTTTGGGGGTGCAAGTGGGCAATTCTCTGCCTTTCAGAGATCTTGCTTCAAATGATGATGTGAATGTTTTTGATATTTGATATGAGTTCAGCCTTTAGCTATTCAGTTTTGTCTTGAAGCTTGATTTTGTACATATTTCTATCTCCTTGTTCAAATCAGTTACTACCGTCATATATAAAAATCATACTTTTGGGGATGGAAGTTTTAGATAATAATCAGATGTATGAATTCTACAGCGGAAAATAAAACCCCACAAATATTTCTATAAGGCATTCTACTTTGAGTTTTTCCTATAATGTTTTGAGGGAAATTTTTTCTAATCTTTATTAAACATAGTACAAATAGGCAGTTTTAAAAAGATTGCTCATAAAAATATTCTTTCTTATTGTCATATTTTAGTATGTTTACTCAAATTACAACTTGCAGATTGCAGTAAAACTAGCAGTATCTCTTAATGCTAGGTATATTTAGTCTTTTTTAGCACTTTGCCCCATGCTGTTTTCTTCCAACATACAGAATAATAAACAAGTAACATCAACAAATCTGACTTGAATGATGAGTTTGAGGTAGTTTTTGTAATGCAGTCAACTCACATGTATGCAACTACTCTGTTCTCTAGTTCTTGTTTGTGATGCATACGTCAGCTCTTCCCACGACTGTACATTTATATTCTCAGGGCCTTCCAATCTAGGTACCTATAGGGAATTATACAGACTATAGCCATTATTCACTAGTACCCTGATCTAAAAACCAAACTATCTTCTCTGAGCCTCTATTTTGCCCACTTCTTGTCTTATGACATTATTGTGGACATTTATCAGGCGCATACAAGGCACACAAACTTATTTAATAAGTTCTAGTTGGTTCCTAAACCTTTTGCACTTTTAACATCAATGCTTGGTTTAAGATTTTGTTCTTATTTTTATGAACTCACCTCCCTTCTGGTATAAATGTTATAGGCTATTTTTGCTAAGTCTCAATATGATTTATAAAATGGTTTTGAAAGCACTCTTAAGTATTGAAAAAGTTATCTAGCAGGTGTATGATACTGAATTTCTATTGCTTTGTAATAACACTTGAAACACTAATTTCAAGATAGAAACTTTACTTTTTCATTCTTAAAGTTTGTCAATCCTTGTTGAATAATTATTTTAAGAAGACAGAATAGTACTTTTCCATTTTCAAGTTAATTTTCTTGAAATGGGAGAATTTTTTAATAGACCCTTTTACAAGTTTTATGCCAGATTGACTAAATGAGTTAGTAAGATTTTTTTTAAATTTCTGTTTTGATAAGAGTAGTGTTCAGCAGGGATTGTCTGAATATTTGAGAAGATATTTAACATACCATGACTTACCAACTGAACAAACAGGTCTGTCCTGGAGAGGGTGAAACCAAGTTGCTCTCTGGAGGCAAGGATTTTGAAGCTCTGTCTCACATACTTTGGACATGTTGCCAGAAGGGACCAGTCCTTTGGAGAAGAACATCATACTTGAAACGGTGGAGGGGCAATGCAGGAGATTTTTTATGACATTTTGTGGATAAGGCCTTAGCAATTTTTGTTGCTAACCCAAAGTCTGTGCTTCACTGGTGGTGGTTTAAATATACTAACTCCAGGAGAAAAAAATTGGACAGTCTCCTGTGCCATTTGTAGCCTGCCTGAGTCCTAATAAAGAGTGAGTTGAGTCAGAACCAACTTGATAATGAGGTTGAGTTTTCTTGAGATACTTCATTATGTAAACACTTTTGATGCTAGAGTTTCCAGAACCATAGGTATTTTATTATTGAACATTTTTACTATTTGAAGAGTCACTGATTGGGGGGGGGGGAATCTCTGAAGAGTCCATTAACAGTGCTGCGAAAACCAAGAGCCTGAGCAGTTGTTTGTTCCTAAGATAATAGCTAAGGTATCTTTAGCTTAACACTGCAGAAAATCATGATACTTTCTGAAGACAATGAAAGTATCCTTAGATTGCTTATAGGAATAACTCAATGAAGAGCCTTGGTGAAACAAAGGTATATTATACAGTAACATCATTAAGTTGCAAATGAAGAGAATGACATTTAAATGCCATGTTTGGAATACCAAAAAAGAATAGTTGGAAGAATTCTAGTGGCTCGAGAAGATCGATTGTGTGCGTTCATTAGTAGTTATTTCAAGGCCACCCAGTACTAAATTTGTGAAGAGCATGCAAGATTGGGCAGCATTTTGTTCTCTTAGGCTTGGGATTTCTGTGAGCTGGAGACAACTCCATGGCACCTAGCAACAGCTGTACTAACTGTACTTGTAAATATCTGTGACTTGTACAGGAGCTGGAAAGGACTAAGGATGATCTAGTCACAGTAATTATTTTACAGTTAGGGAAAGTTGAGAGAAGATAACAGAGTCCTGAAGAGCTGCCAGGTGTAGACTAGGCATAACAATAGTTGGTATTAATGATGCGTGAGAATGGAACTGTGTTCTAAACTTTCCAGGACATCCATTTTATAAACAATTTTGATTACCTACTATATGTGATAATATGGTAAGGAATAAAAGAGCTAAGATCTCATAGAGGAGATAAAAAGTACTGGAATGCATAAAAATTACTAAACCCTGGAAATTATTACCATAAAGCCCCATGGAAGAGATAGCATTTGATTGAAATTTGCAAAGACAGGAACAATTTGAAGCCTTCATTCTTGGAAGAAGCATAGTAAGTGGAAAGTGCAAAGTTCACTTTGCACTAGACCTTACTGTTTTAAAGACCTTCATAATTAAAAAAATTTTTTGGTCAAGTGCTAGAAATACAGTGCTAATTGGTGTTATATTTTGAAATATGCTTAGCTGATTTGCTCTTACAAAATCTAAAGTAATTGTATACTTTTGAGATACTTAACTATATGTGCACATATCTCAACCATCACTCCCCTTTTTAAAACTTAACTTAAACCAAGAAGCTCTATTTTAAAAGGTTTCTAACATGATGGGCTATATACAGTGGTTATATCTTTTAGGAGAAAAACTTACTGTATTTTCACGGACTGATGGATGGGCTTTCTAAACAGCATTTTACTCTTACTATGTATGTGTTGACACAGATTTATGCTGGGAAACTTAAAATGCTTGTGAATTTACTTTTCTTAAACATGCCAAAACCTGCAATAACAGCTCTTTGTGCTTTGTTTAAAGCAACAACTAGTACAAATCCTTTTCTCCTTCAGATCTGAACACTCCCTTGAGATGCCTGGCAAGGTAGGGTGCAATTCTGTATAGAATATGTATGTACATTTATCTGCATTTGTTCTTCTAGCTGGGGCTTCAAGTGAATGGAATATGTTCTTACATTTGTGTGGTTGTTAGGACAGGTGGAAGGCACTGAAAAGATTGTGTGTGTGTGTGTGTGTGTGTGTAAGCTTTAGTATTAAGTTGTGTAACCATCAGCTTCTGTGCCCTCTTTAATAATCTTTAAACGGGGAGTTAAAATAGATGTTAATGAGTTTTTGGAATAGGCAATTTGATATTAACTAGCATATTTGCTGCATGGATACTCAATAAGATTTCTCTATGTTTTTTCCCTTAGTCTTCTCCCTTTAAAAAAATTTAGTAAGAAGACTGTAAAGACTTTAATTGAAAGTTTCTTGTATTTTTTAAATACATTTCTCCTTAGATTGACAGGCAGTCACCCCTGCCACCTTTAACTAATTCTCAATCATAGGAGAAGGGTGTGTGTACAGAATCCAGCAGCCTTAAAACTCAAACCTGTTGCTGTGTGGCAAGCTGTTAATGGTTAGGGACCTTGCATTACTTACCCTGCTGGAAGAGCTGGGGGATGGGCCACTTTGAGGGTGACAGATGTGCCCTCTGCTGCCGGCAGGCGCGTGCCTGCTCTGTCCCTCTGCTCCCGGCACCAGGTGCAGCCATTGTTCTGGCTGGTCTCTCTTCATCCGGCCTCGTCTGTTACTCTGCTCTTTCTAGCTCATTGTTTCTGTAGGAAATTAGCATTAAAAACCCATCTGAAACCCCCATGTCCCTCAACTGCAGGTGACTGTTATTGGCCCCAGCTGCCACCCTTGCGCTTGATTACTTCCATATGGGTCTGTGCAAAGAAGTAGTAGCCATTTATTGATTTCCACCACAACCCCCACCTCTATTACTCAAATGATAATACCCTGAAATCTATTAGACCCCCAGTAGACTATATAGCTCAGTTGGCACTACAACTGTGATGAACATTTTACAAGCAAAACTAATTATACTCTTTCACCCTCTTTCACTACCTCCTACCTAAATATTAAATGTAGGAAAGCCAGGGTGTCATAAAAGTGGAATAGTAAATCTTTTAAATGTCTGGAGATGAATCTGTTTCTGAGTAGGAAAGCTTTTAGACTTTGGATGAGCTTTTATGGAAAATTTTAGTCACTGCTTTAAATATTTCATGCCACACCCATGAACATTCAGAATGTTGGCTAGTAGGCCCTTAGGGTGCGGGTGAGTGATACAAGAATTTCTGTCAATTGCTTTTTGGTTTATTATCCAGGATGGATAGCACCTTAGAAAAGGGGCCTAGTTTAAAATGATGATGTTTTGTGGAGGAAGTACCATGCAACACAATTAAACACTTTAATTTTGCATTGTTTTGTTATTCTCTCTGTTTACACAAATGATAGTTCTAGTTTACGTATCAGATTGAAAATACCACAGGAGGGAAGTTGATGTCCTAGACTTCTTTCTTTCTTAATCGGTAAGCAAATTAAGTGTTCCAGCTTGGGTATTGTTTTAAATCAGAGTGTAATTTCAAGCAGGTAATTTAAGTGCCAGACTTAAAAATTTAAATAGAAATTGTAAGAACAGTCAAAAGCTATTATTGGCTCCTGTTGTGACCTTGACAGAGTCAATACCACCACTCTGGTCCATTGGTGGAAAGGAGAGTGAATAAATTATTTTTTAGAGCATCTCGTGAAGAGTATTTAGACCTCATACAGGTAACCTATACAGGTA